ATCAAGAACACCTTCGTGACTGACCGTGTCGAGCTGCTTCTGCGGGTTTACAAGGCATACAACACACACAGTCGCGCTGCTTGCCGGGCCTACCTCGGAGAGAAGTTCAGACCCGTCCTCGGTGTGCCTGCAGACATGTCCAACGAGGATGCTGGTACCGAGTTCCTCCGCAAGGTCGTTCTGCCTCACCTTGGGAATCAGAACGTCACCGAGAACCAGGACTACGACAAGTTCAAGATGCTCCTGTTCATGATCCGAAAGCTCTATGCTCTGGTTGCTGGCGACTGCGCTCCTGACAACCCGGATGCTGTTTCCAACCAGGAGATCCTGCTTGGTGGATTCCTCTACGGAATGATCTTGAAGGAAAGACTCGAGGAATGGGTGAGGTCCTTCCAGCCAATTCTCAGGGATTGGTCCAACCGCAATGCCGGCGCCACGTTCACCGATCCGGCCTTTGAAAGGGATTTCCTGGCCAAGGTCGTCAAGCGCTCGAACGAGAACATCGGTGGTGCACTGGAGTACTTCCTGTCTACGGGTAACCTCGTCAGTCCTACTGGTCTCGACTTGCAGCAACCGTCCGGTTACACGGTCATGGCGGAAAAGATCAACTTCTACCGTTTCATCAGTCACTTCCGCATGATTCACAGAGGTAGTTTCTTCGCCCAGCTGAAGACGACAACCGTCCGTAAGCTGCTTCCCGAGAGTTGGGGTTTCTTCTGCCCTGTACACACTCCTGATGGTTCGCCATGTGGTCTGCTTAACCATCTTGCGCACAAGTGCTTGATTGCAACTAGCGACGTGGACACCACTCACATCCCCAAGGCGCTGGTTCAGCTTGGTGTGCGCTCCGACTCGTCTGTCTCTGTGACCGAAAGCGTCACCGTCCAGCTTGATGGTAGAATCATCGGTTACTGCTCACCGAAACAGGCTTCTGCGATCGCGAACACCCTGCGACGCTGGAAGGTCATGGGCTCTGACAAGATCCCGCGCGAGCTGGAAATTGGCTACATTCCCAACACCAACGGTGGTCAGTACCCTGGTATCTACATGTTCTCGCAAGCCGCCAGAATGTACCGCCCCGTCAAGCACCTTGGACTCGACAAGCTGGACTACGTTGGTCCCTTCGAGCAGCCTTTCATGGAAATTGCATGCTTGCCTCAGGATCTCATCTCCGGCGTGTCGACGCACATCGAGTTCACCCCTACCAACATCCTCTCTATCGTCGCCAACATGACACCTTTCTCCGACCAGAACCAGTCGCCTCGTAACATGTACCAGTGCCAGATGAGCAAGCAAACGATGGGTACACCCGGTACCGCCATCCAATATCGTACGGACAACAAGCTTTACCGTCTGCAGACGGGTCAAACGCCCATTGTTCGCCCCCCTCTCTACAACGCGTATGGTCTGGACAACTTCCCCAACGGAACCAACGCCGTTGTTGCTATTATCTCCTACACCGGTTACGACATGGACGACGCTATGATTATCAACAAATCCTCCCACGAGCGTGGCTTCGGTTACGGTACGATCTACAAGACCAAGATCCACTCCCTCGACGAGAAGGACTCTCGCCGCGGCAAGTCCAGACGCGAGGTTACCAAGCTCTTCGGTTTCGCCCCTGGAGGCGAGATTCGCGCCGACTGGCGTGCTACTTTGGACGAAGACGGTCTCCCGCACATCGGTGCCCGCGTGAAGGAGGGCAGTCTCGTCGCCGCCTGGCACACCGTGCGCTATGATGCCGCCTCCGACTCCTACGTCAACGTTGACGGAATTACCCACTTCGTCAAGTACAAGGACGCCGAAGAAGGATACATCGACAGCGTGCGCATCCTGGGAGCGGAATCCGGAGTCGAGCCCGGCCAGGCTCTCAGCGTCAAGTACCGCATTCCCCGTAAGCCCATCATCGGTGACAAATTCTCGTCTCGTCACGGTCAAAAGGGTGTTTGCTCTCAGCTCTGGCCCGCCGTGGACATGCCTTTCTCCGAGAGTGGTATCCAGCCCGATCTGATCATCAACCCTCACGCTTTCCCCTCTCGTAAGCCAGCCTCCCTCCTCCCCTATCCAAGCCTCCCCAAACTCATCCCCACTAACCGTCACCAGGAATGACCATCGCCCAAATGATCGAATCCATGGCCGGCAAAGCCGGTGCCCTGCACGGCCATCCCCAGGACTCCACGCCCTTCCAATTCTCCGAAGAAAACACCGCGGCCGACTACTTCGGCCACCAGCTCCGCAAAGCCGGCTACAACTACTTCGGTAACGAGCCCCTATACAGCGGCATCACAGGCAAGGAATTCGCAGCGGACATCTTCATCGGTGTCGTCCACTACCAACGTCTCCGTCACATGGTGAACGACAAGTTCCAAGTGCGTACTACCGGTCCCGTCAACCAACTGACCGGCCAACCCGTCAAGGGTCGTGCCAAGGGAGGTGGTATCCGAGTCGGAGAAATGGAGCGCGATTCCCTCATCGCCCACGGCGCCGCCCACATCCTCCAGGACCGTCTCATGAACTGCTCCGATGCTACCCGCTCCTGGATCTGTCGCGACTGCGGCTCCTTCCTCTCCACCCAGGTGGCTGTGTCCTCTGCTGGATCAAGCAAGGCTCGTATTGCCGCTGCGAAGGCCGCTTCGAACCAGCATTCCGGTGCGAACGCTATTAGCGGAGCGCCGAGTATTGTTCGTTGTCGCCGTTGTGCTAGGGAGGCTGTCTTTGAGGATTCCCGCGCGGATGTCTGGGAGGATGGTGATGGTCGTCGCTATGTTGGTGGTGATAATGTTACTGTTGTGGCGGTGCCCGGTGTCTTGAGGTACTTGGATGTTGAGTTGGCGGCTATGGGTATTCGTATGAAGTTCTGGGTGGATAATTAGGGTGCATATATTTATTATTATTTTTATCTGTGTGGGGGGATGATGATATAAAAAGCAAACCTTCTTTTTGTTCGTTGTTAGATTGGGGGCGCATTTTCAGCACTGCTTTCTTTTGCTATAAAGTTGCTTGTTGTTTGGCTTCTTGGGGATGTATGTATGTTATGTATGCATTATGTATTTATTTTTCTTATTTCTTATAACTATGATCATTTCATCTAGTTCTTATGGTTCGTTTCTGTTACTATAGATTGTAGGGGCTGTGTGGTTGCATGATTCGCATTGTCTTCGGCAGTACCAACCTCTCAGTACTTCTGGCATGATTACAAGACGACTACTCTTATAATTACTGTATCAAGGAGCATCACATAATAAATATCTTAGGCCTAAAATAAGAGTATCATATCCACCATACAGAACCCATCAGCACTTCCCGCGCTTACAACTCCGACGTGACATTCGAGAACTCGCCCTTCTCCAGCTTCGTCTTCCAGAATATCGGGTTCATGTCGTTGAAGCCGTGGTGCACCCATCCCTCTTCCTTGACATGGTACAGGTTGATGAAACCACCAGAGTACGCGTCACGGTGCATGGCAGCAAGGATACTTCTGCGGCCGAGCTCGAGGGCCTCCTCCTCAGTCAAGTCATAGTGGTAGTTGGCGTCAAGCACACCATATGCGAAGGTCTGACCGGATCCGACACAGAACAGGTTCCCGGGGAGTCGGGTGCCGTCGGAGTCGATGTAGTAGAGAGCGGGTCCTTCTTGGGGCGTCATCTATTGTCGTGAGTTAGATTGGGCATCGATGCATAATGGTTATAGGAAGGGTTCTCGTACTCCTGCTAACATCGTTCCCATGCTCAGACCCATTCCCTTGTAGGCATATGTCAAGTTGGCGAGAATCTTCGACGCAGCGGCGACAGTGATACGGCGCTTGTGACGGATTTCTGTCTTAATGTTAATGATGTCTTGGAAACAGTGGATGATTGAACTTGCCGTGAAGTGTGCATTGCTGGCTCAGATATCTCAACCAGTATTGGCAGTCCTATAACCGGTCGTCAGCTGTTCATCCTAGATCATGATTCTAGCACAGAGCGCGCATTGCTCCACACGGATAGCACATACCGCAGCACCTCCGGCCATGGTGCCCAAAAGGCCGGGAGTGGGCTCATTTGACGGCTTGTCCTCCCCGCGGCTCAACCGCGAAACGGGAATAACCTTCTTGACTGTCTGACTCGCAATCCAGTTTCCAGCAGTAGCTCTCGAATCCGTAGCGACGATCTAGGAGAATAATGGTCAGTGCGAGACGTGGCGGAGGCAGTGATGACGGCATACAATTCCGCCCTGGAATCGGAACGCCAGTGTCGTCGTTCCGTGGGCAAGTTTGATGGGGCAGCTGGGATTCGAGTGGTCATCGGTCATGGCACGAAGGAAGGCTCTAGACTGGAGATACAGAAAGATGTCAGCCACTGGTTCCGCGATTGGTAAGAAGCATGTAGGAGTGTCGGTCCGGTGTCCAGCCCAATCTTAGGCAGCTGTAACTTTTCCACAGCCTGACCCCCAGACAAGCAACACCGCAAGGAGTATATCTCACGTTATCAACAGGAGGCAGGTTGAACTTCAGAGAGAGCGGAGGAAGGCTCTCTGTGAGGTCCCGCTGCTCTTGCTCTGAGTAGAACTCATTCTGATGCGGCGGGCGGGAGTATTGAGCGACCAATTTATCCATGTTGTGCAATGTGTGTTGGTAAATTCAAGGAAGCAACGAGGAGATATATTCTGGAGGATGATGTTGGGTGCGAGGGAGAAGATGGAAGAGGGAGATGGCGATGGCGGGTGCAGCTCGGAGCTCTGAGATGATGCTTTGGAGCTCCCAAGCCGGCGTCCGCGTCACGCTGGCCGCCTGGATCACGTGATGACCCTCCACCAATTGTCTAGTTACTATGTAGTTCCTTTGCATTTAACTTTATATTTGCTCAACTAGTTACAATAACAGCCACCCTGCTGACGGTATTGTGTCAGGGCTCGCAGTTTTAGAGCGGCTATACATATAAGCCAGATACTGTACGTACTAGAACTACAATTACAGATAACGAGCACAGCTAGAAACCAATACACTACCCCAAGTCCTCAGCTCAGATGGGGACTGCCACAGGATGAGCCTGCACCGGGACCGGGCTGATTATTTGCGGAGCTTCGGAGCCTCGTGAGGTGTATGAGAGGCGTGGATCTGGTGCTCGTCGCACTTCCTCTTCCTCCTCTGTTTTCAGAGTTTCCTCCCGGACAGATCCATCTGCCACCTGATCTCGGCCTGTCTGGCTGGAGTATATGTCCTGTGCAGCAGTAGGAGTGATCTGCTCCTCAACAGCGGAGACTGATGGCCCTTCTGTGCCACCGGTGGCATACCGCTCATCGGCAGCGCTGGTAAAGACCTGTCCTAGAGGACGACCAGGGTATCGCTCCTCGCCAGCACTGGCGGCGACCGGCTCTTGAGCACGGCTGCTATATTGCTCTTCAGTGACACCGGTGGCGCTCTGCTCCTGAGAACGGCCAGCATATTCTTCTGTGGCACTTCGATCCACATACTCCTCCGGCGCGACTCCTTCGACATATCGCGCACTGCCTCCATTGGCATAGGCCCCTGTGGTACCGTTAGTATACTGCTCCCGGCCAGTTCCATTGGCTTGTCGCTCCGCAGCGTTCCCATTGACATATCTTTCCTGGCCAGCGCCATTGGCATAGCGTTCCTGGCCGGTGCCGTTGACATATCGTTCTTGGCCAGAGCCATTAACGTATCGCTCCTGGCCAGTGCCATTGGCATATTGCTCTACACCAGTGCCATTTGTATATCTCTCATGACCAGCGCCATTGACGTAAGAAGCTTCCGCAGAACCATTGACGTCCCGCACAGAGTCCGAGACCGCTGTGTCAGCCGCATAGGATGCGCGACCATTGGTAGCTCTACGGGCGGCAGTTGGCAAAAGGGTACTGTCCGGGAGCTCCCCTGCCGCACTCTGGATAGGCACGGTGGTACTCTCCCAAGAACGGAGATCATTCTCGGCCTCCTCGAGGATTTGTCTCGTAGAAGATGTGCGATCGTACTCGCGTGGGGAGTCACCAGGAACGACAGGGGTGTCGTCCAGTTGTTCCAAAACGCGACGCGCATGGCGAGCAAGCAAGATCTGTTTCTCGTTTCGTTCAATGACCGCAGCAGTGTGGATGTCCAATGCCTCCTTAAGCTTCGACCTGGTCTAAACTCGAACTTTAGCTTCCGCAATCTTGCATGCTGCATTGATCTCAATACTTACCACATTAGTCAACTGCGCCTCAGCAACGAGACTTTGAGCCTCCGCTCTGACTAGCTCCTGTTCCAAGGTATCGATCTTATGGCTATGTGGCTCCTTCCACTTGAGTCTCTGGATTTCATCTGCGATCTTAGCCCGATGGTCGCGGGACGGCTGGACCGAGTTCTCCGTGTCACGGATCTGCTTCAGCACGATGCGGTATTCCTCGAGATACTGAGCGAATGTATCCTCCTGTTCGCCAATCTCGGCCATCAGAACAGCAAACTTGTCGGTGATATCGGCGACAGCATCGTCTTCAGTCCATTCACCCCATTCGGACAGCTGGGATGCAATAGACACGCGCTCGCGACTAGCCTTCTCATGAGCACCAATCGCAGCATTCTCGTTCTTAATGACCTGGTTCAGCTTCTTGCTTAGCTCGGGCTGCTGAAAGCCGCGCAGCGTAGAGAAGCGGAACCGAGGACGAGCAGTCAATGAGCTTCTCCTTCTGTGGGAGAGGTTGCGATTCCTAAGCTCGTCAGTATCACAATATAATGTGCCTGTAGAGACGGGAGCGATATACATGATTGCGAACTAACTAGGATATCCACGGTGCCAACTCTCACAATTCAATGTAACACAATGTAGTTTAAAACAGGTACGACGAGCTAACAATAATAGAGAAAGGATTGCACCTTCCTCGAATGATACTTCTTCTGGAACGGACGGATGGCAGATCCTATCCGGTGATCGACAATTAGTTGCAGTAGTTATACCAATCAACCCACGATCGGTTCATTGATAGATCAATTCTGTGGGGCACGAGGGATAAATGGCATTGATCAATGGTTTAATTATTTCTTGCATCTGAACAAAAAAAGGCCCTCTGGACAAAGACCGTGACGTCATGCGGAGGACACGGATGGGCATTGAGGTCATCGGCCGGTTGCAGTACAGCCCAGCCATGACGCATCGCGATGGTTCCATGGGAAGGGGGAAGTTAGTTGCTCGTTGAACTCTATACAGTAGACGTGAAGTATAACGAGTATCTCATAGTGCATAGAGCGACGGGACTGCCCCAAGAGGAAGCCAAGCAAGAGTCATGATATCTGAGTAAATGAACCGCATATGCAAAACGAATCTATATACTTGAATCAAAATACCATGAACACCACCATGCCAACCCCATCCTAGATCTACTATCGAGCCCGAATATACTCAACCCTCACCTTCCTCCTCCTATCCTCCTCCACCCTATCCACCTCTTCATCCACTTCCTCATCCTCAACTACCTCCTTCCACCTCCCCCGTTCCCTAATAATTGTAGCACCACCACCACTAGGCCTCCTCCATCCCCCTCTCTCCCTCATAACCACCCACTCCTCCGCCCTCTCCCGGTCCTCAGGCTCAGGCTCAGGCTCAAAAACCCCCACACACTCCACCTCCTCCGCCTCCACATCCGGCAACCGACAATACTCCCTCTCCCTCTCCCTCTCTCTGACATCAATCACCACCGGCGGAGGCGGGGGCGGTAATCTCGGCCGCGGCCACGGCCTCGCAATCCTGACAGGCCTCGCCGGCGGAAGCGGGATGAACGTCTCCTCGACATCTCGAACCTTACTCCGACTCGTTCGGTAAGTATCTCGCTCCCGCTCTCGAAGAGCAGGTGGAGGCGGAGGCTTGCGAGACGGTTGTGGGGGGTGGTAGCTTCGCGGTGGGGGGCGGATGGAGATGGAGGTCGTAGTGGAACTGGAGCTGGTGGTGTCGCTGCAGGTGCTGCATGAGCTGTTGGATCTTCGTCGTCTGCGGAAGTGGTGATGGTGGCTACTATGGTGGTGGTGATGACGATCGTGGAATCGTGGTGGTGGTGAGGGAGAGGAGGATCGCGAGGAAGAGTCGAGGTTTAGATTGAGGAGTTTGGGGAGGGAGAGGGAGTCGGAGAGGGGTGGGAGGCACATTCTTCTCTTTCGTCTTCTGGTTCTTTGGGTTTATAGTGTGGGATTTGGGTGGAGAAGTGTCGGTTGAGTGTATAGTATGTATAGTATAGCTGGTAGGATATCGATAGGCCTAGTTTTCGAGGAACTGTATATTTTGACCAGTAGGTATCATTGTTGTATGTAACAGAGAGTAAAGTCATTCCAAAAAGAGAGCAAAAGAGAAAGACTCGGAGGGAGATACCCATGTTTTCTATATACATTGTACATTTGATAGCCATGCGGGAATCACTTGACCGGCGTAACCTGTCATGCGGATGGTCGGGCCCGGTGATAGCGTCACTTAGGCGGATGATATGAGGGTTATTGGGTATCGGGTGGGCGCATCTTATCTGCGATAGTGCTAGTTTCTACATGAACTATTGTCATGGGTGCAGCGAGGTTTTTGGAATGGTTACGGAGACAGAGATAAAGATGGGGATGAAGGTGGAGGGAGTGGAAGTGGAAGTGGGATAAGTATGGGTTAGGACAATGTACATGATGTTGCTAAGTTGGTCTGGTGACTTCTCCATCGGCTTTACATAGTCGGTACAAGCCTTGTTCTGAGCTACGACCTAGTCAAGGCGCAGAATCAGCTTGGACGTGCAGATGGCTACTCCTCATACCTCCGAGATCGGACACCTCCACCTACTCTAGTATCCAAGGATTAAAAATGCTGCTTAACAGCTAATGGAGCAATCTCATTCACAACCCCTCCTCTACACGGAAAGGGCTCAAGCAAAGCAAACCCAGCGCCAATTATTGGTTACAAGAGCACCGCAAACACCGTGTCCCCACCCCAAGGAATTCCGAAACCCAGCGATCAGCAATCCTAAGCCATATCGTCCGCATCGTGGTGATGGGTGTTCTCATTATCCGATGCGTGGAATGCATCGCCGAACGCCGAGTTCTCCAGGTCCGGGAGGTCCAACCCTTCGTTCTGCTCGGTGTATGCTGCAAGCGCATCACCTGCGCTATCCATATTCGTGAAATCGAAGTTGGCCCCGTCCAGCGCAGAATCTCCGGCACTCCCTCCGTTTCCAGGTGTCAGGCCTTGGATGCCACTACCCGGGGTGCTGATGCCCGGTAGGGAGCTATCACCGCCGGCAGGCTGATCCTTCTTCTCGTCGTTGACCATCACCCAGTCGCCTGTTTCCCCAGCCGCCGTGCTCGTCGCCTGTCCGTCGCCCATATCCATGTCGATATCGAGAGACGTACCCTGCTGCGTAGCGTCGGCGGTGGGCTGTGGCTGCGGTGGCACGGGTACGCCTCCAGAAGGTACACTGGTTGTGGGAGGAACGGCGGGCGCGGCTGCTGGTGCTGCTGGCTCCTGGGTGGTGGATGCAGCAGGAACGGCCCCAGCGGCAGATGGAGAGCCCAGTTGGTCAAGGAAGTGGCTGTCGGCGTTCTCCATATCAATGTCACCTTCCGTTTGGGGTTCGGGTTTTTGCTCAGGCTCGATCTTTTCCAGCAGACCACCTTTCTGCACGCAGGAGATCTTGGGCTCCGGTACGATCTGCCGTTGCCACGATTTCTCCACCTCCCGTACGATGTCGTCAACCTTGTACTTGGCCGGATTCTCTACTTGAGGAGCCTGTGAGTCATCTTCTTCCGAAGGCATCACAACACGACCTTCCAATCTCCATGTCTCTGTGCCAGTCTCTGCAGGGTCTGTTGCGGCTTCCCGGAGCCGGAGTTCTGCGTCCTTCAGTAGCGACGTGCGGTTAAACTTCTCCATACGACGCGCATGGCGCTTCTTCAGCTTTTCAATCTCAGCTGTCATGTCAGCGACCTTCTTAGCGACACGGTCAGCGAATTCCTCTGCCTTAGCAGGCTCCATCTTCTCTGCGGCTTGACTTGACGCGTTGGCATCCTTCGTCTCTCCATTGGCAGGTCCAACGGGTGCGTCGAAGAATCCCGCCGTCAACGACTCCAGCTCTCCTTTCCGGCCCAGGCCCAATGAGACCGGGGTGATCTGGTTGATAGCGTAGGGCGAGGCGAAGATCTCCTCCATCCACTCGTGGTGTTGCTGGTATCTCATCTTGCTGATCTCGCGCGGAGTAAGCAAATCCATAGCATCCCCAGTCGAAACGTCTTCATCTTCAAGGGCAAAGTCGGCTGTGGCAGCGTTGACTGCAGCAGACGAAGCGCGATGCCCGCGCGCGGCCTTGGCGGGTGTGGCAGCGGCCGGAGGCGGCACACCCGGGCCTGGCGGGGGGTAGAACTGCTGGCGTCCTACCATGGCACTCGGGTATGCGCCAGGCACCTGAGGGAAGCCTTGCGGAGCCATCTGCGGAGGGAAGTTGATGGCTGGCCAGTTGTTGCGATCGTGTAGCATGAAGTCCTTGCGCGCGAGTTGGCCTTGGCTCTGGAGGAACCGCCGTTGAGCCAGCATGTTCTGGACTGGAGGCATGACGGGGATTCGGTTCGCGGGGATGTGGTCGGTGGGAGGACCTCTCGAGTAGTGAACAATCCACAAGGAAGGGTCCGGCGGAGGAACGTTCGGGTTAGGGACCTTCGACGGCAGAAGTCGGTAACGTCTGCGGCAGTGGATAGCCAGGGTCTCGTTTGGTGGGTGATAACCACTGCGATGCAGCCACATCTCCACCAGCTGGAGTATTCCGTGTCAGCCATCAGCGCGTCAACGTAGGAGAGAGGGTCAGGATGCGCATACGTAGCCGCGAGCTTCGAAGGTGAACGCTTGTTCGACGTCGGCCCAGACATAACCGTCGCTAGCAAAGTTGGTTCCCAGCTGGTTCAATGGCTGCCAGGTGAGCATGACAGAACCGTCCTGCGGGCCATCAAGGAACGTCCAATGCATCGGTTGCGCCTCCCGGACGATCTTGGGCGCGGAGAGGAGGTATTCGACGACGGTGTCGGTGGGCATCATATGCATAAGGGGATAACGGTGCCGCGACACCAGATGCATGTGCGGCAGCTAATGAGCGTGTGAAAGCGCCGCTGGTTAGCAATCGGACATTCTAACTATGCAGCAGCACGTCTCAGCTGGATGACCTACCAACTGCGCGGGAACACGGCTCGCTGGGTCGTCCATGGTGATTAGAGACCGTGAAAGGACTAGGGAAGATGGGTATCAAGGTGGTCGCCTAGCACGCGGGATGTTTAGCGGATGGGAACTTCGAAGCGCATCCGGTGATGAAGATGGCCGACAAGCGACAATCGAGCGCAGACTGGTGGACGGAGAGCAGCGAAGGCCAACGCGACGCGGAAATTTGAGGTTCCTGGCCGATTCCCGACATGGCCCCTGCGGGTAACGGGAGAGACCCATCATGCAGATTACCTGCCTGAAGCACCAGGCTGCCATAGCTCCCGATTGAGACGAGATCCCGGCTGGCCAGAGATCGTCGGAAAAGCCCACATTAATCCTTTCCCCAAGCGTGCAATTCGTGCATCCGAGTCTCCATCCCCGCAATGTTGGGGTCTTATGGTTTTAGCCGCCCCCCCAGACTAGTTAACTAACTAGATCATCCTACGTGGAGTGAGTCAATGAGTTGACCCATCGTCAAGGGAACCTGATGTCCTGCTTCATCTTTCTAACCGATCCAGCATTCTTGCAGTGTTTCGCACACAAACTGCCGTGATGTCCATGCGAGGGAACCATGCAGTATAGTCGGCAAGGGTCATCCAACGACTCATATTGAAACATCCAGCCGCTCCTTCTTCTTCGTCGCCCAATGCCTTTGCGACCTTCCCAACCAAGCCTTTTCGCAAAACTCGGTTGGATTGGACCCAAGCTTTGACCCGCCACCCACCGCGCAGTGATGATTTCTCTCCGCACTCGTCATGATTGGGTCCTTCAGAGTGTGTCATTGACCCGAGCCCATGCGTCTCCCCTTCGGCTTTTTCATGCACTTGGAGTGTAGCCCTCCTATAGTGCCGTTCGGCTTTGAGCAAGCGATGGCATTATCCCTGGAAAGGCAATTGTCTCGTCCGATCTATCCAGTAGTTCTCTCCCGCTCCACTCCCACCCCTGCTTAACGTCACTATCCCTCACCTGCGGGGCGTGGAGAGGAGAGAACACATTCGCGTAATCGTGGCTCCCAATTCAAACAGGTCTTATTGGTGACAGACCACGCGAAGCACCCCTCTTGCATCGCGCTGATGCTATAAATCTTGCTGCCGCCCTCATTCTCCTGCATTCTGTCCTTGTTCGGTCCGAGTTCTGCATCTGTACTTCTTACTTCTTCTTTCCGTTTAGTGAGTCATGGGTTTCTTTGGCAAGAGGGAAGCTCCCGGTGACACTACGGGCCATGTCGATGCCATCATTGAGGCTCCGGGGCCTGATCCAGAAAAGCAACAAGTCGCTCATGATGAGGACTTTCACACGGCGCTTCCTCAGATCCCTCAGGCCGCACCTACCATTGATCCCGCAGTTGAAGCGCGCTTGTTGAGAAAATTGGACTTGAGGGTTCCAACGCTGCTAGGGTTCTTGTGTAAGTTCCAATATTCTTTTCATTCCCGCACTCACACTTTCACCGCTCATCCGACTTCCTCTTATCCTGCCCTTATCACATTTCACCTTTGGTCTTTCTCGGAGCATATCTAATATGATGTGTACGTGCAGATCTTCTTTCCCTTCTGGATAGAAGCAATATCGGGTACGTTTTTTCAACCTTTGCATATCATCTGTGACCTGTCGCCTAACATCGTGCCAGAAATGCCAAAATCGCGGGAATGGAAGAGGACTTACACCTCACGGGAAATCGCTATACATGGCTCCTAACTATCTTCTATATTTCCTACACCCTGTTCGAGTTTTTGGCTCTAATGTGGAAGATAATGCCACCTCATAGGTGGGCAGCTATCACAGTAATGACCTGGTATGTACAGACCCATAGCATTAAGATGCCCCGCTCGGTATTTCTGACTGACGCAGGGGCATTGTTGCGACCTGCCAAGCCGCAGCACAGAACTGGGGCGGGATGATGGCTTTGCGTTTCCTGCTCGGCATGTCCGAAGCAGCA